AGTCAATGCAGGCCAGTCTTTCCCAAATTATAAGCTTAGAGCTGACAATTATGATGGAGAAACGCCTCTCCGAGAATTTTTATCACAATTTGATTTGGTAGCGCGTGCCAACGGGTGGGGCGATAGGGAAAAAGCGATTATTCTTGCGGTAAATTTTTAAGGGAAAAAATTTAGCATTTAATTTAAAAAATATTTTTGTGAATAAATTAGGATTATTCAGTAAAATAGATACTCTCTTTTATTTTCTTTTGTTGAAGGTTTTGGTCAACTGTGGGACTCGTCGGAGGGACTCTGTCAAGATTTAGAATTGGAAGAAATGCATGAAGACCACCCTCCCCACGGTTTTTTGACCGTGGTTTTTCCCGTGGGGCATTGGACGAATGCCGGGGTGGGGACCTGGAGTGTTCTCGTGAGAGAACGATGGGTCCACGGGAGTTACCCCCTCCTTGTCCGAAGACTGGAGGCGCAACATAGAAGGCAGAAGCGTCATCCCAAGATCTTCTCGGAGGTGACCTAATAGGATACTAAAAAATGAAGCCTGGAAAGTCTAAAGCAACAGCTTAGACTAAGGCAAGAAATCATTGGTGTCCATGGTTCATCGTTAATCCGGAAGGAAGTCAGCGCTCGTTTAGTCTGTAGCAGCAGCTCAGACGAGAGCAGGAAGCTGTCTCGAGGGAAGGCACGTCTTCAGGAGCTCCCCCTATAATTGTCGGGACGACAATTAAAGGAGAAGGGGGGCAGTGTTGCGCCCGCGCTTTTGGGAGCGTATTGCTGGTTCGGTTCGAGATCGAGAGATGAGCGAGACAAGACGACGAGCGACCGGCTTGGCAACGTGTAAACAACAACAGAGTTGAGATGGTCCCGAGCTGTCAAACCGATTGGACGTGCGACGCATCTCTCTGTTAATATTAGAATATTGTTAATCCTGCATCAAGAAGCTTTATAGCGGCATTAAATTCCTTCCTAGTTTACTCTAATAAGTGTCTGATTTATTCCCCGCGAACGCGAACGCGAGTGTGCGACAAGGCGCAACAATATTTATAAATTAGATTGGTCTAGTTTAGAAAATGGAAGACTGCTTTCGATGCATTACGCTGAAAGAGCTTCCATACTTGAAAATGTGCCGCTTTTTCAGAAAGCAATTAAAAATTATACACATAATCTTAAGCAATTGGACGCTAACTGCAACGTGGCACATTTGGCTCAATATCTTTTTAAAAGCGAACCAAGTTATGTGTGTTTCCAAGCTATGTGTTCAGCAAATCTTGTACTGGTGGTACTACAATTTCGTTTCCATCTGTAATCTGTAGTGTAAATGTAGACATACTTTTACAGGAAGGATTACAAAATGTACAACATGCGATCAACGATGCTAAAAATGTAAGATTGAAATGCCGAACGTGTGGAGCAATAGAAGATAGTAGTTACAATTACGGAAATCAAATAATGATAGATACTTCCATCTTTACTGACGACACACACTAGAATCGAAATCCAAATATTATACATAATTTAAATTCTATTGCCAAAACCATTAGCCTGAACGATGTATCTTATATCTTAGCAGGTGTAGTACATTACATATCGTATGGGCACGATAGTTCTGGCTACTATATTGCATTTGCATATGCTGATACACATTGGTATATGTACGATGACTTAAAAAAAAAGCGTGAAACAATGAATCCTACACACGTTATAAAACCACATGTAATATTGTATGTAACGTGTTAAAACGTATGAGTTTTGATTCCTCTATCAAAAAATAACAAAAAAAGAAAAAAATAAATAGAAATAAAAAAAGTAAAAAACAAAAACATAAAAAATGTTCTTTTTAAGGGGGAAATACTTTTTCTACATACATATACATATCACATGGAAATAAATTATTTTGTTATTAGTTTGGTCGTGGAGCAGAGTCCATTGACCATAAATATATTTTTTTATTTCCCCTTACTATTGAGGACCATTTTGATTCTTTTATATAATTTTATTCGGTCGAGGTGACAGATTTATATTTAGCTTTCAGTTGAAAACAACCAATTGTGCTTATTTCACTGTACTCGGCCGAGAGTAACAGGTTCCCTACATTTATAATTTAAAACAAAAAATGTAAAAGTAAACAACAACAAAAAATAAAAAATAAAAAATAAAAAAATTAAAAAAATAAAAGAAAAAACAAAAAATGATGTACTTTCTTACGAGCAAAATATTTTTTCTATATACATGTACATATCACATGGAAATATATTCTTTTGTTGTTAGTTTGGTCCCCTCCATGCCGCCACCTTATCGTGGTGGAGGGGTACCGGCGATCCGATGAAGGCCGGCGGCAGTACCTTTCCGTTTCGGCCGAAAGGGAGGCCCCTACCTGAGGATCGCTGGCGAACGGCGGCAACGGGGAAGGAAAACCCCCACAGAAAACCGGACCGCGGTGGGCTGCAGCCCCGCGGTTGCTAGAGAGGGACGTAAATCCCTCCACTGCAGGGGAGCCCGGCGACTCCCACAGGGCCGATGGGCCCAATCGCCGGTAGGGGTAGGCGGCCCTAATTCCAATCGCCCGGCTGGCTGGGGCCGTTAGGTGGGGCTTGCTCCACCACCAGTCTTGGGGAGGTTTTTTTTTTTTTTTTTTTTTTTCGGGGTAGGGGGTACCTCCGCTCCGAGACGGGTAGTCTCCCGTCACGGAGGAGGAGAAGGTCCCACACGAGTTGGCATTGTACGCCGGTCTGGCAGCCGAAAGTGTGGGACACCCTCGAACCGTCCCTACTCGGGCCTCGGCTCGGGTAGGGTGGGGAGAGGTACCCACACCCGGGATTGCACGTCGGTAATTTCCGACAACCCGGGGGGTGGAGGGGTGCGCGGGCCGCTCGGACATATTCCGAGGTCGGGGTCGCGCACCCTGGGATGGCCATCCCGTCGGAGTTACCCGGAGATTTTCTCCGGGCCGGCGGGACGGGAGGTGGAGTCGCAGGAACCGGTACATTGGCCCTCCCCACATTCCGTGGAGAGGTGCCGCACCCCGGCAACCCTGCGACTCCTCCTGGTCACGTCCGCACTTCGCGGCGTGACCGGCCGTGATGGCCCCCCCGTGTGGGCAGCTGCGCACGGGGTATCTCAGGGGTCGGCGTGGCATTTGCCAGGACCCCTACAGCGGTGGTCCGACCAACGTCGGACCTGGGCTCATATCGTAAACCCCCGGGGTCGTTATGTCATGTCTATGACGATCTCCGGGGGAACGAGAACCTTGGCTTAACCGCCTGGGCTGCGAGGATGGGGACCTCTATAAAAAACCCCCCCAATCTCAAGTTATGGGCCGCGGCGAGGAGATGGATGGCCGGCGGGTTAGCCGGTCACTAGCGGTCCACCCCGGGGCACCTGGCGAACCCCGGGCGTACCAATCGCCCGACCCCAGCCGAGAAGGCACCGGCTGGGGGGTACGTATTTCCTCCCATTTCTAGAGCCCGCCCTGTACGCCTTCGGGTCACAAGGGGTGGGCAACACAAGAATGATGTCCCTTAAAACAAAACAAACACAAGACACGGTGGAGGGTGAGGGTGAAATGGAGGTGGAGGCGTACGCCTCCGTAACATGCGGGCGGAATATGCCCATTGCGGCGCGGACCAACAGCGCTGCGGGATGGACTTCCTGGCCTGAGGCCTTGAGGAAGAGCAAGGAGGCCATTAACGGCCTACCTAGAAAGGAGGAACCTGGGGCGACCTACGGCCCTGAGTTCATCGGGACTTCAACTGGGTCATCACCAACCCAGTTAGGGCCCCTGATAGTTTTAGTACTCTCCCGTCAAACCTCTCCTTTGAGGATACGCGGGGGGGCGGCGTCCGGGCACTCGGACTCGGAACACGAGGGGAGGGAGGAGGAACCCTCAACCTCCACAGGGACGGTGAAGGCGAGCCGCCCTGGCCCGGCAAGTAGCATGGCTGCGCAACTGGCAAAAAACAAGGCTGCGCAACTGCCGAAGGGCAAGAAGAGGAGGCTTGATCCCTCCGCCTCGTCTTCTGACCACAAGGTGGAGGTCGTTGACAAGTCCTCGGACTCGGCCTCCTCCCCGGAGGATGAGAGGTGGGAGTCGGCATTCAGGAGGAAGAAGAAGGATGGGAGGGGAGGCCCTCCGAAGGACCCTTCGCATGAAGGGTGCTTCACGGCGGAGGCACTGAAGGCCAAGAAGGTCTTCGCCAAAAGGTTGACGCAGGGCCGGGACGAGGAGCGTGCCCTGAACCCCTCGGCGGTCCTGAAATACACCAAGAAGGTGTCGGAGATCCGCTACAAAGAGGCGGACCTCATACAGGAATACAGGGACATCTCTTCGGCCGGCTTAGGAGCAGTGGTGACGGAGCGCGTGGCCATGCTGCAGAAGATGGCCCAGGGCTGCTCCAATCTAACAGGTACCACGGTGCAAGCGCTGTGGAACACTTCGGCCCACATTTCGGCAGCCGCCGCGGTTTTGAACCAGAGAGCGCAGCAACCTGGTCATGCGGTGGCGGAGGCCGAATGGGAAGACATCAGGAAGGAGGTCCGCCAGCTAAAGGGGGACCTGACGCACCTCAGAGCCGAAAATGAGAGCTTCAGGTCGGAGAACGAGAACCTGAAGGCCAAAATTAAGAAATTGGAGGAGGAGCGATCCAGAGTGGCGGCGAGGGCTCCTAGCCCTCAACCCACTCCGAGGTTGAGGAGGATGGCGACGCGGTCGGCGATCGCCGAGTCGGAATCGGAGGGGGAGAGTATGAGGGGGACGATCATTCTCTTCCCAGACCCCCCCTGACCCCTCCTGCCGCCCGCAGCCTGGGGAAATTATTCCACCGGCTATTAGGCCCCCGCTCAGAGGGGTCTCTCACATTATTGAGAGAGAGAGAGTGGCGGAAACGGATTCCGCTGCTCCTTCCAATGCCGGTCTGGAGGCGGCCGTGGAGAAGCTCATCCCAAGGCTGCTTGCTAGTATGGGCATCCATCCGCCCGTACCTCCGCCTGAGGGATCCGAATAGACGATGGATGTGGAGGCGGAGGAGCGTTGTCGCCCCTCCTCCTTCCCCCCCAACGGCCGTGATGGGGGGATTGCTGGACCCTCCCGTACCCCGGGAGTAGTTCCTATTGAGGCGGACTCTAAGGCCCGGAAAAAGAATAAAAAGAAGAAGGGGAAGAAGGGTAAGGAGGGCACTGCGCCCCAGGTCCTCCCAATCCCGGAAGCTCCCCGAGTGATGGGGAAGGAAAGTGCCCAGGGGGGCCTCGAGGGTAAACTGAGGGGGCTCGTAGGCCAGAAGGAGAGCCAGAAGGGGGGAGTCGCTGCCGCCTCACGAGAGGCCGGGAAAAAAGTGCAGCCTGCTAGAGGGGTCGCGACCCGCTCCTCCTCCCAGCCGTCCACGTCGGACGGCTGGAATAAGGTGGTTGGCAGGAGAGCCAAGCAGACCCAACCAAACTCAGGGGGGGTTAAACCTTCCCCTATTGCCGGGAAAAATCAACCCGCCAAGGGGAAGAAGGAGGGGAGGCAACTGTCCACCCCCGGACTCCAGGAAAGGGACCGGAAGTGGGAAACCTTCCCCAGATCTATCTGGGGCAATGGGAGGGAGGGGGTGGGAAGGGTGTTCCGCGCCTAAAGGCGCCAACGTCCGCGGCGGTGTGCATAACCTGTCCAGCTGGCAAGTACAGCGAGGTGATGCGCATCGCCAGGAGCAAGGTCCCCCTCTCCGACCTGGGGATAAATAACCTCAGGTGCTAGAGGGCCATCATCGGGGCCCTTCTGCTTGAGGTCCCTGGCCCGGAGGGGGACAAATTAGCCGACACCCTGGCCGTTAAACTCAGGGTGGCGCTGGTGGGTGAGGAGGGGGTCAGGGTGGACCGCCCCTCTAAAAAGGCCGAGGTCCGCCTACATAACTTGGAGGACTCTGTCACGGTCGCGGATATAGCAGCGGCCGTGGCGGACGCCTCGGGAGGGGACCCCTCAGACATGAGTGTGGGGGATATAAGGAGAGCCCCCAACGGTTTGGGGACTGCCTGGGTGCGGTATCCCGTCGCCGCGGCCAAAAAGGTCGCGGAGGCGGGCCGCATCCAGGTAGGATGGAGTATGGCCCGGGTCGAAGTGTTGTCGGCGGGGCCCTTGCAATGCTTCCGATGCTTGGAAGAGGGGCACGTCCGTCAGCACTGCCGCAGCGAAATCGACCGCTCTGGCTTATGTTACCGCTGCGGCGGCCCGGGTCATCGAGCCGCGGAGTGCACCGGAGGACTATCATGCCCGGTGTGCTCCACGGCCGAGAAAGTGGTTGCCCACAGGCTGGGAGGAGGAGCTTGTTCGGCTCTCCAAAAAAAGAAGGGGAAAGAGAAAAAGAATAAGGGGGCGGGGAAAGCCCGAACCTCGCCCACCTCCCAACCCGACCAGGTAGGAAGCCAGCAGCGATCCCAGGATAACGCTGCTGGTTCATCCGGGATGGGTCAAGTGGACCCTCCCCCGAGAGGGAGAAGGGAGCCCAGGAGGCCCAAAGAGGACTTGGCTCGCTCGTCTGCACCCGAGGCCCCAGAAGCCCCTATGGAGGTGCAAATGGAGGAGACTCCCCCGGCGACGGAGGAGAGAGGGGGAACGGGGGAGGAAGTAGCCCCCGCTAATACCGAGGTGGTCGGCCTGGAGGAGGTAAATCTGCCGCCTATAAATGGCGACTAAACTCCTCTAGGCCAATCTAGGCCACACCAGGATCGCCCAGGACCTATTCTTGCACTCGCTCGCCGAACGCGGAGTAGGCCTGGGCGTGGTGTCCGAGCCCTACCGGATCCCGGCCGGCGACTCTCGCTGGTTCGGGCTACCGGGGGGCTCGGCCGCGATATATTGAAGGTGCTGCCAGGAATCTCCTCGGCCGACGCTCATCGAGGCCGAGGAATTCCTGGTGGCAGTGAGATGGGGGGCCCTCGTAGTGGTCGCCCTCTATGCTCCCCCACGGTGGACGAGAGCCGACTACGAAGAGCACCTGGACCGGGTGTCAGGGGTCGTAAGAAGATGCGCCCCTCACCCGGTGGTGGTGGCCGGGGACTTCAACGCCAAATCTACGGCGTGGGGTTCCCCGGCCACAAATGTTCGTGGTCGGCTCACAGAGATTTGGGCGGCGTCGGCGGGCCTTCGCATACTAAACAAAGGCTCGGTGAGCACCTGCGTGCGTCCGCAGGGCGAATCCATCATTGACCTTACCTGGGTCAATGGCCCTGCGGCGCGCGCGGTGGGGGGCTGGAAGGTAGCGGAGGGGGGTGGACACGGGGTCCGATCACCTGTACATTGAGGTGACCCTCTCCGCCATTCCCCCCGAGGTGCTCAGGCGCCGCCGAGAAAGGGAGCGAGGGCGGCCCGGCAAATGGGCCCTCCGGAAAATGGACGGAGACGCTCTGAAGGCGTCCATCACCGCGGCGGAGTGGGCTCGGGGGACGATCCCCCCCCCGGCCCATTCTGTCCCCGGAAGACGTGGAGGAAGAGGCGGAGGAACTCGGGGCAGATATGGAGAGGGCGTGTGACGCCTCCATGCCCCGAGTTCGCCCCACGCCCTTCAGGTCCGCATACTGGTGGACGGAGGAGATAGCCGAACTCAGGCGCTCCTCCGTCCAAGCTGGAAGATGGATGCAGCGGACCAGAAGGGCGGGGAACGTCGCCGAGGCGACGAGGGCGCGCAGGGCTTTCCGACCCACATGGAAAGCCCTGCGCGTAGCTATTAGGAAGGCCAAGGCCAGGGCTTGGGAGGAATCGCTCAAGTCCCTGGACAAAGACCCTTGGGGGCGCCCGTACAGGATAGTCTTGCAAAGATTGAGACCCTGGGCGCCCCCGGTTACTGAGAGTCTTGAACCCCA